TTTCAATATACAATCTAGGGCACTGGTATCATCGTCGCCCAGGACACAAGGGGCCGTCACACTCGTTGGCTGCTTTATATAGGCGAAAAGCATCGCTAGGACTGTGATGTTCTTCCAAACAGACAACCCCATAATTGCTACTGCTGCTGCCGTGATCGCAGTGGAAATTCTCTCCCAAAAAAGGGAAGAACAGCCGTGAAAACACCGAAAGAACAATTCAAGGCGCTAAGATTGTTTGGCCGCATTCGGCTCTCGTCAAAAAGTTGGCTTGATCTGTGAACGAAGCTCCGAGGTACTCTTACAGGGACGTCCAACCAGCAGCTTGCACAGTTGCAGATGCAGCCCCCTTGTAGGCAAAAGTGGGACCTAGCAGATTTGTTCCCTTCTGTCGAACCACGAGCAGAAATTCAAGTAAAGGTGATATTTGGGCCGGCAGTCGATGAAGAGGTTACCACTATATCGAAAGTCAACACTCTTTCGAGTGAAACACTAAAATCAGGACAGGTGCGTTTACAGCACGAACAGATATGTGAGCAGTACAGAAAGCATTCAATGTTTCTTTCTTCGTTCGACAACTTCTAACATACTTCTATCTTTCGCTTCGTTGATCATGCCACCTCGCACCTTTTGAGTCCTCTGCACTGCTTTCCTTTGTCTTCCTCGAATTCTGATCGAGTTAGCTACTGCCGCTAGGTAGAGCTCACAATCGTCGCCCGACCTCTCCTCTGTCCACCCAATGTACTTCTGCCTTACGTCCGCTGTCTTAGGGCGGCTTTCACCTACTGTTGCTACGGTTTTCGCCGTTGTCTAGCTTCCACACTCCATTAGTCAGGAGGGCAAAGCTTATCCACTGCTTCAGCTATCGTCACCACCACCAAGACGACAGGAGGTCTCGCATGACGAAAGGCGAAATAGAACGTTACAGCCTGCGCCGAACAAAGGAACCAGCGAAGCCAACGGACAATTGTCTGCCTCCTGGTGGGGTGGGCTTTGACGGCAGCGGGTCGCCCCGGTCCTTGCATCCCTCGCGGAGGGACTGCCCCTGGATGACTCCGGACGCTTGAGGCAATGCCTAAGAGTGACTAGAGTAGATTGCAACAAAAAGGAAGAGAGACGTATGGAAAGAGAATGAACAGCAGTGCTAAAGATTAGATCTAATTCGACATTCCATAATGCATCGAAAGACAACCCGAACATAGCGTACAAGTCTCAGCAGCAACTACTACAGGAGGAAATTCACCATCTCTAACTATGGCAACCTGCCACACAAGCCAGTCCTTCACATACCCGTCACATGGGTTGGAAATGCCAGAGGTGGAACTATACATGCTACATGCGCAGATAAAGTTCGCTGTCGTTGTCTGCTCGTTCGTGTCGTCGCCTATTTGCTTCTGCCTAAACAGGACCGCCTCACAGCACATAACTGTGCATCTGTGTAGGCCGAGTGTAGATCGTTTCAGCGGTACCACAGTATTGAATTACTATATTTCCATATGCTCTCTGTCCCTGCGGGAGATACATTCGCGCGAAGCACTTCTGTTCCATTGTATCTCATCGATCTTTTTCCTATGCTCTTGTTATTAACATTTCCTGAGTGAGTGAAACATGGGTCTTCGCGCATTAGCGTTTAGTCTGTCTGCCAAAGTGTCAAAGCGTGTGGTATTATATCTGTATTGAAGAACACAACAACGCAGGGTTAGGCGCATTGAAATAAGCGAAAAGCTTCCAGAGAGGACATCAGTGACGGGCGGGCAGTCAGGCAGAGATACTAGAATAGACAGGCTTTGGAGGAAACGATGACGGACCGGACCTAGCTGTAGCTAACGAAAAGCCACCTCGCAGGCTATCCTACGGCCCTTAGTAAGGCGTAGACTAATCGAACGCAGCCTGAGCGCGGTCGTGGCAAAGCGAAAGCGACAAGCATCGGGTGGTAATAGTTTGTGGTGGCCGATAGAAACGACAAACAGACAAAGCAGGCCGCTGCTTTTACCGTAACCATTCTAACGGTAGAAAAAAAGCCGGCCGGCCGGCCGCTCACAATTACCACAAAAGCCAGTGACAAACAGCAATTGCCTCGTCTTCCCGCCTCGATCTCGCCTTCCACTATTGAATACAACTGGTGGCGGATTAATTGCTTGCGATGAAGCAGTCAAGAGGGGGTACCACTGGCAATAGCAATAGATTAGGCTCAATAAGCGCTGGAGAGAATGAAGAAGCCGTGCTTGATATAGTAGTGTTGGACTGGCATGATGAAAGCACGCCAGAATGGAAGCAGTAGGTGGGACAAACGATGGGGGCTAAGGAGTAAGGTGGGATACTGGGGCAAGAGTGGGATAGCGAGGGCAGAGTATGCTAGATAAACAGACAAGCAGGCAGCTCCAGTCACTATGGTCGTGCGTGGGTGGACATACTGCACAAACGCACTGTGAAGAACACGTGGGCTGTACTATAGGCGTAATTATCCAGTGTAACGACTACGTTCTTCAAGCAGGGCAACGAACTCTTACTCGAGAAGCACACAGGGGGGTGGACAATATAATACAATATAACAGACGTCCAAGGGAAATGGGTTGGCGTGATCAAGAAGCGATTAAATGGGTTTGCAATATTTAATCACGCCAGGACGACAAAGTAGTGCCTAGAAGAAAATAACTGAAATTGAATTGAAATGAATAACTGATGTGGCTTATTAGGTTCTGGGAAGATAGTGGCTTGAGAAAAAAGGTTATAAGAGAATGTGGAGTTCTTGGATAAGATGGTCGTTGTCGAGTTCTGTGAAAAGGTACAATTTGGTAAAATGACAAAATAAATTTTGTAAAGTTACGCAAATGAAGTAATTATAGCAAATGTAAAAAATAGGATTTGTTCATTTTTTAGAAGAGTATCAATTAAAATAGGGTATTCTGGCTACTGCAACAGGAGTTGAATGAGCTGAATAGCATAAGCTTTAGGTAAATAGCATTCGTACATTTTTATAAATGTTTACCTATGGCGTTTGCCGGCTATTCCATTGAACATATAGGTGCCAGCTGTAACATACAGATGTTAAATTATGCGCAAAAAAGTTCGTATGCCCAAAAAGGATGTTGGATGTGCAACCTATCAACTGTGAAAGTTATTACCTTATGTGCGTCGTGAGAAGCTTCCGATTTTGACAAAAAAGAAAGAAACGAATATAAAATACTATTACATAGACGCACTACCAAAATACGCCACCACGATGCAATAAAATCTGTAGAAATCAAGCACAAACTATGCCTCTAAGAAACCTGACTCTTTGTTTGCACAAAGCTTAAACCTCTGACCTTCAATTCCCTTTGGGAGCTTAGTCCGTAAACTTGACAGGTCTGTCAGCTAATTTAAAGAATATTTTACAAATATTTCTTATCATTCTGGCCCCAAATAAAACCATCTGAGTGACTGTCAGATTTGACGACAGCGCTCCCATCCATTATTTCTATTCGAGCTATATTTCCGAAACAATAAAAGACACAATGTACAATCGCATTTACGATAGATACGCCAGAGAGCCAACCCAGTTCAGTCCTGAAGGATCATATGTGCTGTTAATACCTAATCGCAGAGTTGGATTCTACCTAGTCAACGCATGCTAGACGCAGTCTTGGGAAACGATCCCATATAAATAGTAATATCAAGATCTCCTATACAGTGTCTTGACGTTTATCTGAGCATGTTGGTCCTTTTGTGGCCATTGCGCAGCAGACTGGAGGCCTTATTTTCGCTTCCAGAAAAAAATTCTTATGACACTATGATTACAAGACCTCATCTCTTCGAAACGCGGCGTTGATCGAGGAAATGAAACTTGATCGCCGCCGAGAACATCAAAGACAAACGGAACATGGGCTGTTATTACTGTGCGTCTTTGGAGCGAACTTCAACTTTTGACATTCGAAACTACAAAAGGCTTACGTCAAACTTGATTTGCGCGTGGACGCAAGTTTTGACATTTTTTGATTAAAAAAAAAAAAACAAGGTACACACACACATCGGCACAGAGCACTACACACTTGAAAACGATTACAATAGTAGGTAATGAGCACAGAACGTTGTTTTAATACCAGGTTTATATATCCGCTTCTAATAGGCAATCATTGAAACTGCTCAAAGCTCCAAGAATAAGTTTGACATTCACAGGATTATTGAACAATTAGTAATTGTTTATTAATAAAATTCTTCAGCTATCTTCATCGAGAACAATATTTTACAGCAGAGATTGTATGGGGCGCAATTGTCGCATAGCTAGCCGTTGTTTGCTTAGATTTGTCGTTGTTTAGAGGCAGCAGTATCGCAATGTTGCTACATAAATAAGGACTTTTATAGGCGGCGTTCGCTTACGGAAATGGACACGTGGTTAACGATTTTCCCATATGTTAGGGCCTAGTGACCCCGGTTAAGTAGGCTATTTTACGCCTAATCAAACTGCCACAATTTACTATTACTTCCCATACGATATCGTATAATTTCATTATACTATGTCTAACATACAGGACATTTCACCCTAATCCTAGTTAAACTTTAAGTTTGCTCAGTAGCAGTCTTCAATGATGTCCTGATTACAACTGTGGCAAATTTTGGTTGGCCTACCCTAACCGAATTAAAGGCCTGCGATAGTCATCTTGCCTATACCATGCATTTCCGATGGGTCTGACACTGTAGAGCAAGCCATATTTTCATCTCGTGCGGTTTCATCTCAGGCTCTTTTTTTGCATCTCAAGTTTTCTTCTTTTTAGAATTGTAGAGCTCTATAGAAGGCCAACTGTTATCCCAGAAGTCTCATTTCGGCTGTTTGTACGCGTGGTTGCACTCCTTCCATCATTATCCGTAGCTGAATGCTGATGAAGATAGGCTAACTGAAATACTGCGCCGGACTCTGCTTTTGGGCTAAAAATTTCTATTTAAAATGTCATAGAGATTTTATCACATGCAAAGGCGCACGCTTCAGTGGTTTCTTTTTTCAATTTGACTTTCCTTTTTCTCAGGACCCGTAAGCAGAGAAGCTCAAGAGATTTCATCATTCTATTAGAGCTTTCGAGGAAAGGCACTCTATCGTATCGGGACAACGGTAAGGCAAAAGGCAAGACTTTTAAGTATTGAATCAGCTAACTTTCAGTTAAATTCTCGTCGGAGTTCGCAGCCTCGCCGGGTTTGTTTCAAAGGTTCGACTATAGGGGGTGAGTTAATCGACCCAGTCCAACGTATACCTGACGCTCTTTGCGAGCAAAGACAATAATACAAATATGGCCATTAATAAACAAGAGCTACATGCATATTTCGTCTTAGCTGAACTTGTTTTTCATTTGAAAATATGAATACAAGATAATACGAGAATTGCGAAAATTTCCACAACTCCAATAATCTACTCTATACAAATAACGCCACAGACCGTTAGCTGCTACCTTTGCGAGCAAGCACTAAAAGTAGGACAATTGTCCCCCGCGCTATCAGTCCCGTTTTGTATCCTGGTGTTCTCACAATTGTGACCTCACAAAATCCTTCTCCTCTTTTCCTAGGTATCTGTTGCATCTCCCATAGAGAACAGCTGAACGACCGACCCCCGTCCAAAGAGGACAACAGCAGCCGTTGGAAAACGAGTTCCTAGCAACAGCAGCAGCAGCAGCAGCAACACCACTGTCAGCAACATAAGAATCTCAATGCAAATTGTTAAGATTACCCCACGAGATCGCAGCGCGTTAACTGCTAGCCAAGATCTCCCTCCGCCCGTACCATGTATCAGCACACAGGCGGACATTGTACGCTGTCGACTCAAACAACTCGACCGACAGAAACGACAGTCGTCGCGAACCCTAACAACAGCAAAGGCATTAGCAACAAACTGTTTAAAGACAACATTGGCCATTGGACGTATGGTAACCGCCAGACTACGTACAACTGACGACAATTCGGTCCCGGCGATCGTCGGCGTTCATCAGTTGACAGTTCGCCGCAGTCCCAAACTAAACGAGTACTACCCAATTTCGCCGGATATGATTCACGCTAGAGGCACGCTGATGGAGTGCATGACTTGTTCCAGCGTGGACGCGCTGGTTATTACCGCGTTTAGTCGCCAAATCATAATGGTGTACCTATTATTAAGTAGCCGACAAGTACGGCATTTAAGCGATAGCTAACGATCGGCAGTATTTAGTAATAGTGCGCGATGCTTTAGGTGGCTATACCATTAGCTGAGAAAGCCAACGGGAGTCTACGGTTCGAACCCCACCAACGACAATATACTGCGTGACAAAATAGGCGTAGTACCTCGACACAGAGTCTGAAATGGTAAAATAAAAAAATGATTATTAGTTCACGCGAGTGGATCGAGAACATACGCTACTTTCTACAGCTCTGACTATACAATGACGACAGAAATAATGATTAGTTCTTGATTTATCCGGCATGACCACTCTGTGCTGGTATGTTATTGCACCAATCAAACCACGACGGCAGCAGCTGAGCCTGTGTCCTGAAGTAGAGGTTTTCACCAGACCTAAGTCACGAGGCAGGAGCAAAACATAGTGTGGAAGAAAAAGCAGGAGTGGAGTAAATTAGCTTAAAAGGACACCCGTTTTGTGAACGCCCTTCAACTATTTTTTCCTTTAATCTGAATTTGCTGTTTAACAGAGCGAACCGACACGAAAATGACTCTCTTGTCCGCACATGTCTATTGAGTTCTGCGGACGTCTATACACCTAGTTCTAAGCTGCACGGGTAGATATATACATATCTAGCCATGACGAATGTAAAGGTACTTTCTGTTCGCTTACTTGGCTGTTACTGCTTTTAAACATTTGGTCTTTTACTAACAGCTGTATAGCGTCCATTTGTAGGTTTCGCGATAGCTCTGGTAAAGGATAAACTACCGAGATAGCGGGAAAACGATGGTGGATGAGATAAGCTTTACCAGTCCACGATGTGCTCTCTGACCGGCCTGATTAGCGAGCACTAATGAAGTTTTTAGTCCGCACGATATTCGTACCGTGTTTTTCCGACCTCGCCAACGTATGGCGGTATCTACCCTACAGCTTGTTGAGTATATGCACGTAAACATTTTTTTTTTTATTACTAAAACAAGCCATGACTATGTGCTGAAATCGTGGAATGTGCTATATAAAAGTACAATTCGAACAAAATCAGTATATCGTCGATGGCTGAATTTAGAGATTTCGTCTGCTGTGAAAGAAGAATTACCTGATGGCTGTTCATTATAGATCTATCCTGTAATACATGACCGTATTAAACGGCTAAGGTTCGTGGCCTAAAGTTCCGCCAATGACACATAGCACACAAGTTGTATGAATAAACAAGTTAGTTATCTAATCTTGTTAGCGTTATTCCGCAAAACTTTAAGCGGCAACTACATTTTAGTTCGTTTGTACGTTAATAACAGTTTTAACTTTACTAGAAAAGTTGGACGGTCAAACAGACTTATTGACATCGCCATCATTACACCGTTTTCTCCATCAGCTTTAAGGAACTTTTTTTTTCTTTACATTTAAGTGTTCCAATCAACCCACATATCAGATATCGCTACGCCAAAACTAATCGATTTGAAAGCGTCCGTTTCTGTTAGAATCCTTGTCTAGTTATTAGTTCGCTATGAGACATTATGACATTAGTAGTTTCAGGTACCTCGCAAATCGAGTTCCGTGATCGATCGAATCTGAGTCTTTTTGCAGGTGGTCTCTATCCAAACATTACGAGTAAAAACAAACATTTCGCGATAGCTCTGGTTTAGAACGGGAATTATTTCAACCACCTATTGTCATTGTAATACTACCTCCTGTGTAAGGAAAGCATTCTGCTAAGAGTGTCACCCGACTTCACACACAAGGGTTCACCGTTCACAAAAAGGTGCGCCGTACTACTTCAATGTATTACGTTTCTTTATTTAACGATATCTACCGTAATTAGTAATATATATATATTGTCGTTGGCGTACACTTAAAGATGATATTTTTAATTTTATTTTTTTTGAGGAATCAAGAGTTACCATGCTACATAGCGGGAGCAAAGGAAAATGTGTGTTATGAGCATAAAGTTTACCTGGCAAGGACAAGACTGCCGACAATTTTTGTCTGCATTGTTCGGGTACCTTAAGTAATGGAGATTCGACCGATGCAGAGAAGCGCCAAGTAGAACAAAGCTGAAGTTACATGCGTCTTCCTACGACATCATGAGACTCATCCTCTGCCATTGTTATCAGATTGTTCAGTGAACGGCAACGGAAGTAGGTCGATATTACAGGGGACGTGTGGAGTGACGGAAGGGTCGAGTGTCTTTAGGACAAGCTAAAAAGCCGTCGGGTGCTCTTAGGCTTGTACTTTTCTTCGTTTGTCCAATGATAACGTCAAAAGGCGAAGGAATTATTCACACGCTTCTCCGTCCTCAGTTTTTGTAGAATAGAAAATCCATCATCTCTATTATTTAGTTATCTATTATTTTCACAGAGAAAGTGTCGCTTTACGAGCTAACAGCAAGCGAATTGATACATTTGCGTATTCGTATTTTCATGTACAAGACAAGATTTAGTTAAGTGGAACGGACATGCTGCTCATACCCCACTAGTCTTCCCTACCTTTGGAAAAACGTTAAGGGCAAACATTTGGGTAACAATTCTTATGACATCTGGGATACTCTTAAAGTTCAGCGTACGCCACTATTGCCTTGGAAAGTTTTCCAACTGGGTCGCTTTGTGTAAGTAAGTAAGTGTACGAAATCAAATTATTATTTTATCGTTGAACAAGGAAGGTTTGCAGAATGTCCATCATCAGCCGCGATTTTTTTAAAAACAAATGAATAACAAAACCGCACACAGGTCGGCTCTTTCAATACTAATAGCGGTATAATGTTATGTATAAATAATACTTATAAAGTTGATTTTGAAAAGGAAAGTTGCGAACTTCAGCAAGTTGCTACTGCTAGTAAAGCAAATCTAACTTTTAGAGTTAGCTAATCGTCTGTTAATATCTAGCACAATCTAAAGACGCAAAGAGATGCCTGTCCTTGGTAAAACATACTGAGAAGGAAAGTCAAGGATTAATGAATCGTGCTCGATATTGTGACGAATTCTATGGCCCGGCTTTTTTTGATACTAGTGCTATGTAATCTGGATTAACCGAAGCAGAGGCCCATACGTTTTTCTCGGCCGTTTCGGGAAATTGCGTTTAGATCAATGCTAATAAAATGTGAGTTGTTAATCCAAGGAGCTCAATAGCGTAAAGCTCCTTTGTAGGTTCATGCATCGCCATTCGGTAAGGAAGGGGGCGCTGAAGCAAGCCTATGGGAAATACCAAATCGATTGGTATTGCGTTGCGAACGAAAGCGTCGTAGCTTATAGAAATAAAGCAGGAACTGGGGGGGAAACAAAGGTTGCAGAGACTGGGGGCACTCAAGTGCTTTACACAATATATGCTGTCTACCTAAATACTCACGAAAAAGCTATTGAAAAAGGCATTATACCTCGTACCTTTACATTGCGTAGGTGACAAGCCAGCGTTCAAAGCAAAACGAACGAACAATGTCACCACTGTTTAGAGAGAACATAGTACATTTTTAATGGCCTAGTTCTGCCTAAATCAGGCTAAAAATTTAACTTGCTGGTGAAGAAGTAAGAGGTTACGATGTTACTGTCTTAAGTGTCGTATCTACAGTGTTTTTGAAGATAGCTGACGGGTAACCGGCAAAGTGGACATACCCAGCCTCTAGCAATACTTCGATACAGGTCGGTTGCGGAAACAACTTCCTAGACTTACGATTCGTGCTCACTCAAACACTGATTTACTGAGTGTTTTTATTAGTACGAAACTTAACTATACGTTTTTCTAATGATGTTTGACGCGTTCTGCTAATAACTAGAAGTAGCTAAATGGTAATTCCTGGTAACTCGCTACGCTGTCGGAATTTTCACGATTGGGTACTGAAAAGGCTCTGATGCAATAAAGCGACCATATTCATTTTTCATAGACAATATCCGTCACGTACTTGAACTTTGTATCTTCACCAAAACCTCCTCGAACAGCTGTCGACTATCTTATAAACCTCAATACGATAATTATACGTAAAGACGCGGTGTCTGAAGCTTTTACAATACTGGTGATGCTGTTAGGTCGAGAATGAGAAAGTATGCAATTTTTACAATCGTTTCCGTTGTCAAAACGAATGGTAATAGTTGAATGTTAGGGTCATCTCTATTCCTCTATTGCGTGTTACGATGGTAACAACCGACGGCTGACGCGGGGTAATCATTCATTTCATAAGTGATTCATCTAAAGCTTCATTAATCTCTCTCTTAAAGGTTACCTCAGTATAAGTGTACATGTAGATTTGACCTACATATAAATTAGTAGGTGGTTAATGTGGTTATAGAAAAGGCGCATTTTGCGTAATTGAACAAGTACTGAAATCGAATGCTGGAAGCCATCTGGGTAAACAGGTTTCGAGAATACCTTGCAAATAGTTTTACGGTATATATCGTTCCACTGAAAAGGCAGACAAACTATTGTATGCTGCTTATTAAGAAGCTAAATAACAAGGTGAAACTTTTATGAAAATCTACCAACAGAGCACAGTCTTCCTTTTTTTGAGTTTGGGTAGTTACCGGCTGATGATCTGCTCGAGTCTAAGACAAAAGTCACCATATTGAAATAGGCGCTGAGAAGAACTACTTAGAAATTACACGTATTTTTCTGTTGTGTTTAACCTTTAATTACGGGACATATCTTTGCTTCTTCGGAAATTTAAAAAAAAAATACCTCCGAACTATACCGAATAATACCGAACTACCTCTTTCTACCCGTCTGCTACGTTTTTATTAAGCCTCTTAGAGTTAGCGCCTGAGCGCTAACTGCACCCCCGAAACATTTCGCATCTGCTGTTCGTTATCAATTAAATTGTTTCTAATATGATCGGCTTCATTATGAAGAGTTGCAGCAAATATGGTTTATTATCATTTAATAATAACAACAACAGCAATAAGAGATAACAGAAAATCTAAAGGTTGGTCTGCAAACGGCTTGAAGTTCCATTTTCGAGAGATCGATAACCAGAAGTTTATTAAGTTGCATCGAACAAGGTTTCTCCTTTACTTTATTGTATAGATCAATCTAATCCTTGAGTATACAGCATTACGCACAAAATTGAGCCAGATGCATTACGCAAATGGACTTGCGTCAATTTTCACAATTTCATTCTAATAAAAGATGGAT